AACAAACTGTGCTGGAATTATTAGCTGTTTATAAGGAGAAATGAATTCTAAGCCTTACCTCATGCCATATACAAAAATTACCTTGAAACAGATAATCTACCAAAACATAAATGCTAATTCTATACATCTCCAAGAAAAACATAGAGCTAACATTTTCATGACTTTGGTATAGCAAGAGCATGTTTGTAGAACACAAAGAGCACAAGCCAAAGTCATTAATACCTTGGACTTGAACATCTAAAAAAAATTGAGAAAACACTGAAGAAACTGAAAATAGGAGTCACAGAGAGTGAAAGTATTCAATATTCAATACATGCATACATACGTTGTATATTTAGAATATATAAGTAACATTTTAAAAATGCCCTTATTTAAACTGACAAGTAAAAGTGTACATATTTATGATCTACAACATGGTGCTTTGATATTTCTACACATTGCAGAATGGCTAGACCAAGTTCGTTAATAACATATGCATTACTTCCCATGCTCTGTATGCGTGTGTCTATGTTGAGTACTCTTTAAATCTCTGTTAGTGATTTTAGAATATAATACGTTGCTATTAATTGTAACCAGCTCTTGTCTGTCTGAGATTTAGTGCCCTTTGGCTAACATCCCCCCACCCTCAGGTATGGGAAGCCAGCATTTCACTCTGTTTATGTGAGTTTGACATGTTTACACTGCACATATGGAGTATTTGCAGTCTTCAACATTTCATGGGAAAGTGTACTGTGAAAAAAACTATGTGTGATTTCACAACAAACTAAACTCACACTAACTGGTTCAGCATGTGTGATCAGAATCCAGTTTGAATCACTAAGGTGAGAACATTTTGAAAATCTCTCTCTCAGAGCAGCATGACGCCTGCTAGACGGGAAGCAAGAATGAACACCCAGTTCATGGTGCTTCTTGGCTAGAGGGAGGGGGAGCCAAGTGTGGCTTCAGGAGCCATTCATGGGACGGTAGCCCGGTGGAATCAGCAGTTTGCAAATGGATGACTGATTCTGAGCAGGGCAAAGCTGGGTTGGTGCTGAGGGGCAGCGTCCCTTGCAATCCTGCATGCCATATTTGGAGTGCCGGTTCGAGTCCAGGCTGCTCAGCCTCCGAGCCAGCTTCCTGACAGTGCACATGGGGACGCAGTAGATGATGGCTCAAGTACTTGGGTCCCTGCCAGATGGAGGTCCTGGCTTTTGGCTTCAGCCTGGCGCAGACATGGCTGTTGTGGGCCACTTGGAGAGTGAACCAGTGGATGGAGGACCGCTTTCCCTCCCTCTCGATTGCTCTGCCTTTAAAATAACTAACTATCTTTAAAAGGGGGGAAGACATAGTATTGAAGGTGAACCTACAGTCGCAGAGCAGCCACATCAGTGAGGGAGGAACAAGTCAATCTTGTTCACACCCTCATCAAAGAGAACCAGTAGTGGCGGCAGAAAGAACTTCAACGCTACACACACTTCAACTGGCTCACCTTGCAATTCTGGCAGAAGAATGAAAGTGGAGCAAACCTCCGGCTCAGGGGGTGCCAGACCAGCCACAGACAGAGACGGGCCCTCAATGGCAATGTCACACCAGTGAGATCAAGGGCACCAGATGACACACTGCTCTGTCAGCACAACCCTGGAGACGAAACACCAGCACAGCCAAGGCTACCCAGGGGGCGGATGACCCGCTCAGAGCCAGAGGCCTGGTCACGAGCGGAATTTCGGCAGCAGCATACGGCGTGCCGCTTGCTGACTTTCTGGAGGGCGTAAGAACAGTAACACTGTTTATTGTGGGAGTGTTTGGAAAAGGCGGCCAGTGCTTTAGCAGGAAACTGCTCGGGAGTGCTCCCCCAGAGAGCCCTTCTCCACCGAGACGACGCGCCCGCTCAGTCCTCTCAAGCCCGCTGCAGTGCTGTGAGCGTTGCATTGGGCAATCACCAGGCATTTACTTTGCAGTACTCATTTGGCTCCTCTGACTTCTGTTTCCAAATCTCGAAAAACAAAAACCAAAATAGAAAAAAACCCAAACCTTGAAAGGGCACCCATTTCTCTCTGGTTCATAACGTACAAAAGACTGCATCGTCACAGCTCCTCAGCGTGAATATCTATTTATTTATTTGAAAGAGTTGCACAGAGATAGAAGGAGAGGCAGAGAGAGAGAGAGAGAGAGAGAGAGAGAAGTCTTCCATCCACTGGTTCACTCCCTAGATGGCCGCAAAGGCCGGAGCTGTGCTGATCCGAAGCCAGGAGCCAGGAGCTTCTTCCGGGTCTCCCACATGGGTGCAGGGGCCCAAGGGACTTGGGCCATCTTCTGCTTTCCCAGGTCATAGCAGAGAGTGGGATCGGAAGTGGAGCAGCCGGGACTCTAACCGGTGCTCATATGGGATGCTGGCATCGCAGGCAGCGGCTTTACCCACTATGCCACAGCAGTGGCCCATATTTATATTTGATATTTTAATTCCACGTTCTACACACCTTTTGATGCCCCCTCATAGGAATTTAATTTTGGAGCTGTTGAGTGTGAAACATTAGAGCCATTGGCCAGCTGATGGTCAAATATATGAGCCTGGATTCCAGAAAACTAGAACAGGCTGACATAAATTGATGGTTATTAAAACAATGCAGTTGGGGCTGACGCTTTGGCATAGTAGTCTAGGCTTCTGCCGGGGCGGGGGGCGGCATCCTGTAAGGGCACTGGTTCATGTCCCAGCTACTCCTCTCCTGATCTAGCTCTCTGCTAATGGCCTGGGAAAGCAGTGGAAGATGCCCCAAGTGCTTGGGCCCCTGCACCCACGTAGGAGACCCCCCCAAAAAAACTCCTGGCTTCTGGGTTCAGATCAGCCCAGCTCCAGGCATTGCAAGCATTTGGGGAGTGAACCAGCAGCTGGAAGACCTCTCTCTCTTTGTCTCCCCCTCTCTCTGTAACTCTACTCCTTGAATAAATAAATATATAGAAAATAAAGCAATGCAGTGAATACAAAAATCTAGGGAGAGAGTGCATGGGAGAAGGACACTGAGTGTGGAGTCTGAAAATTCTCTGGCCTTCTGCCAGCAAGGTGAGTCAGCAGGTCTGTGAGCAGGTGCAGGCAAGGTGAGTCAGCAGGTCTGTGACCAGGTGCTGGAGCTAGGGCAGCATCTGGCCGCAGCTCCCTTGCATAAACATGGCTGCTGCTTCACTTCTGCCTTCAGAATCCTGCAGGAGAGGTGGTTCTGGGAGTTTAGCAGGGCTGACCCAGTCCAAAGCCAGCACAGTCAGGGATCCTGGTGCGCGCGGGGTGGGGGTTCCCCGAATCTTCCACGGGGAGAATGTCTTACAGCTTACCAGCCGAAATAGCCAGGTAACCCCCAGCTGGCTGCAAGGCCAAGGTCAGCGGTTCTCCCTGGAAGGGGAGGCGGGTGCTGGGTGGATAACTGGCTCCCCCCCTCCCCCGCCCTCCGAGCGCTGACGTGGCCAAAGGCAGGAGCCTGCGCTGAGCGGGAGAGTGGTGCTCAAGAGAGAAGCCCCCTTTGGGGACCCTCGGAACAGCTCCTGCGGCGCTGCAGGAACTTCGCACTCAGAGTCCCGAGCGCCAGGACAGAGGCGCGCGCTTCCCGTGCAGGAGCGCAGGGCTATTTTAAGGCCTTGGCGCAGCTGCTTTGTTTCAGGGGGAGAAGAAAACGCGGGGTCCACGGCAGGCGCCTCCCCCAGGCACGACGAGGCCTGGGGAGTCCGCTCGGCGTGGAAAGGCAGCCATTTCCGCAGACGGAGCGGGCTTCACTGCGGCGCGCCCGGGCGCGGGTTCATCCACATGCAAGCAGCTCATGGCTGCCCAAGGTGTTTCCTGCGCTTCCCTGTAGCCAGGCACGCTCTCGCCTTCCACGCGGGAGCCCGCGAGGGCGCAGGGCCGGGCGGGATCGCGGAGGTGTGAACAGTGAGACCCAAATCCGAGCGCGCCCCCGGCGCCCGGGGGAACCGCGCGTTTGGCTCCCGCGCCGCGCTGCGGGGGATTCCCATGCAGGTCTCCCCTCAGCCGTGGGCGGCTGGAAGCCACCGCGGCCCGCAGCCCCACTCCAAGCTCATTCTGGTTAAATGCGTCTGGCCAAACAGCCGCCTCTTGACACGCTGGGGTGGGTCCTGAAACACGAGGAAGCCGGGGTGCAGGGCACGGCAGGGGGTTGGCTGGGGCAGGGGGCTCCGTCCCCCAGGCGGGTCCGCGAGGGGGCCGAAAGCAAGGGGCTGGGCCGCCACGCCCCGCTTCGGAACCTTCCAGACTGGCACGTAGCGCTCGCGTTCCTGCAGCACCCTTTGAGGAGCAGCCGCCGCGAGGCCGCCTGCGGGGAGATCCCGCGCGGGGGCCCACCCGGGCCGCAGCCAGCCAGAGCGCAGTCACGTGCCGCGACAGGCGCCGCTGCCTGCGCGTTGCGGGGGAAACGGGAACGCAGCCCGAAGCCGGGGGCTCCACGGAGGGCCGCGGTCCAAGCGCCTGCGGCGGGGGAGTCCGCTGGGCTCCCGCGTTGGCGCCGGGACGCAGCGCAGGCGGGCTGGGCAGCGGCGGCCCCGCGCAGGCGGCGGGAGAGGCCCCCGCCCGGCTCGGGAGCTCCCTGCAGCCGCGGGCGCCAGGCTATAAATAGCGCGGGCGGGAGCGCCCTCCGCAGGGGCCGCGCGCGGGAGATCCCGGGGAAGCCAGGGGCGGCGTTAACCCCTGCGTGCCCCGCGCCCTCGGGAATCTGCGGCCTCTCCCCGCGGAGCCTTGGCGCGCGCCTGAAATTCGGCCCTAACCCACGCACATACACACACACACACGCGCGCGCCCGCTGCCATTGCGTCCATTCGGTTCTCCTTCGGCCCCAAAACCTCCCCCAGATGCGGATCTGGGCATAACCGTGGCGTTGGCGTTTCGGCGCGGGGCTCCCCCGTCCCCGCGGCTTTGCGCAGCGCGGGGACAGCCACTCTCCCCGGGGTGGGGACTGCGGAGTGGGGCCCGGGCGCGTGTGCACGTGTGCGTGTCTGAGTGTGCAAGCGCGCGGGCACGCGTGGGTGCGCGCGCGTGGGTGCGCGCGCACACCCCTTGGTAGCCTCAAGGTCGCCAACACCCGGAGCGTCCCGGCCCCCGCCGCCCGCCTCGCTGCCGCCGGCCCCGCGCCCGGGCAGGCAGGAGGGAGTTCCCAGCTCCAGCGGGCGCCCTGTGCTTGGGTTCCGTGGGTGCCGCGGCGGGGACGGCCAGGCGGGAGCGGGGTTCCCCCGGGGTGGACCCGGCCGGCCGCGCCCCGCGCCCCGGGCTCCCCGGGAGGATGAGGCGCGCGGCGCTTTGGCGGCCACGCGCTGTCGCCGACACTGGCTCCCGAGGGGCGGCTGGTGCGGGCCAGGGCTTCGGCTGGGTCTCCCGGTAAAGCTGCGGGAATTCGCGGCCCCCGCTCCCGCGCGCTGCAACAAGGCCGCATCTCCAGGCTGGAGGCAAGGACGCCCGCGAGTGGAGCAAGGTAAGCTGGCGCCCGAGGTGACATTGACGGGGCTGCCATCGCGCGGGGAAGTTTGCCCTGGGCGCCCCGAAGTTCAATGCAAACAGTACACTGGACGGGCCAGGCTGCACCTTGGTAAGGAGCCGAGAGCCTGGTCCGCGTTCAGACTGGAGGGTTAAGGACCTGGGCTTGCCGTGTCTCCACCCCACTCCTTCTTCTGGGAGGTTGTTGGGGAAGGGCTTTCTGTGTGTGGAATTCCTGAAATTCCTTCCCTAGACTTTGATCAGCGCAGGGTTATGGGATCCAGTAGCCCCCTGGTGCAGGGTGTAGAAGACTCCCCTAAACCACGCCCTAGTGAGGGCTGGGACCCACCTAACCAGGGAAGGCGTTTGATGTGCCAGTGCAGGTCTGCTTCCATGGCTGCTTCTGCATTTCTCCCCTCTTTCAACCATACACACATCTGCATTTGTGTTTGACAGCCCCTCTCACACACATGCAGGCCGACGTCCACCTTGCTACCTAACGCCAGCCAGAACTGGGAGAAATAAATGCCAGTGGCTTGTATAAACCACTTGGCACAGGGTGTCCCGCTATGGAAGCTTGCATACACTAAG